AAGGTCTGCTAGAACAGGTTGCCCAGGACTGTACCCAATCAGGTCTTGAAGATCCAAAGGTGGAGAGTTTGCAGCCTCTCTAGGTAATCTGTCTCAGTGTTTGACCACTTCCACTAAAGTGGTCAGTATTTCTCATATTTACATGGAATTGTTTGTACTCCATTTTGTGCCCATTGCTTCTATTCTGTTCACTGGGCACCATTAAGAAGAACCTCTGACTCTCTTCTGAACTGGCCTCATTGGACATTCATGCACATTTATAAGATTGCCCTCAGCCTTCTCTTCTCCCAGCTGAGCTGTCCCAGTGCTCTCAGCTGCTCATCATATGTCAGATGTTCCAATACCCTAAGCATCTTCCCGTCCCTTCCTTGCACTCTCTCCATTATATTCGTCTCCCGATATAGCTTAGTCTGACTCTCTCAAAAGCTTTTTTGTTTCAGAGTAACATGAAAGTGGAATAGGGATGGGTACATCCCAATGCCTTTCTTTAAAAGTCTTTCTCAATAATCCTGTTCCATTTTCTCTAGTAGTTTTCTCCAGGAACCTGAATTGTCCTTGACATGCCCATCCTCACACGCAATATAGAGTCATTCTCTTGACAGTGCAGTATTTAAGAGATCAGCCCAATAGCAGCAATGAGATTTCAGGAGTCACTGTGATATCAGAGCTGTAGGATAAATTATCTGTAGAGGAGACGTGGACACATCGTGCTTAGTTGAATTATCCCTGATGATGTAGCAGTCATACTTAAGAGTTAATTAACTATCACTCTGAACCTATGAGGTCATAGGTATTTCATATCAATATATCTGTTACCAACACTGCCTTGGAGACAGTGTGTGCAAAATTTCTATTCTAGTTATACCACAAGGATTCAAAGAAGAGATTCTCAAAGTTTCTGAAGGTAGGGCTGATACTATTCTCTCACCATTTAACAGCTCAATGACTTAAATACTTAGGATTCAGGATACGTGACTGTTGATCCTTCAGAGTGACCTTAATCTGTTCTCTTGACTCTGTACAACTTTGTGGTACCATAAATTGCAAAATGGGGCACAGATAAAAATCCAGATTTTGAGGCAAAATGCTGAACTAGTGGCTGCAAAGCTCTTAGCTTATATTTGGACACTGTTTGCATGTAATACCTAAAGTGAAACACTGATCAACCTCATCTCTTGCCTCTAGCACATAAGACAATTTAAAGGAAGGGAGACCATGTTTGAAATGCTTGAATAGAATAGAATAGAATAGAATAGAATAGAACAGAATGGAATATTTTCAGTTGGAAGGGACCTGCAATGATCACTTAGTCCAACTGCGTGACCACTTCGGGGTTGACTAGAAGTTAAAGCATGTGGTTAAGAGCATTGTCCAAATGCCTCTTAAACACTGAAAGGCCTGGAGCATCAACTACCTCACTAGGAAGCCTCTTTTAGTGTTTCACTGCCCTCTTAGTAAAGAAATGTTTCCCATTGTCCAGACTAAGCCTCCCTGGCACAGATTTGAACTGTCATGCATCCTGTCACTGGACACCTGGGAAAAGAGACCAGACTCTCTTCATTTCCCCTCCTTGGGAAGCTGTAGAGAGCAATGAGACAGCATCTCAGCCTCCTCTTCTCTGAAACAAGCCCAAAACCCTCAGCTGCTCCTTACAAGATGTGCCCTCCAGCCCTTTCATCAGCCTTGTTGTCCTCCTCTGGATGTATTCAAGGATCTTCACATCCTTCTCAAATTGTGGGGGTCAGGATGGCCCACAGTGCTCAAGGTGAGATAACAACACTGAGTAAAATGGGATAATCCCCTCTTCTGCCCAGCTGGTCATGACATGTTTGATGCACCCCAGGATGCAGTTTACTTCTGCGGTCTGGTCTGCCAGGGCCCACTGCTGACTTGTGTCAAGCTTGCTGCTGACCAGCACCCTCAGGTCCCTTCCTGAGGGGCTGCTTTCTAGCAACTCCTCTCTGAATTTATAGTGTCCAGCATTATGTTGTCCTAGTTGCAGAATCTTGCATTTATTCTTGTTAAACTTTATCCCTTTAACAATTACCCAATGCTGCAATCTATTTAGATCCCTTTTGATAAGCCAAAGTTTTATAAAGATTTTATTGCCTTTCAAAGACAGAAACATACCAAAAGGGGATATTATAATGAGGCTATAAACCTTACACTTCCTCAAATTGTTTTGTTTGTGATTAGCAAATTTGAAGTCATTCTTGAAGGCACTAAAAAGATAGAAAATGACACTGATTTAGAGATAAATTTAGGAACATGGTTTTCAATTAAGCAAAGGTTTGAAAAGTCTAATATGAATTAACAGTTTCTGCTAGTTAATTGATGGCATATAAAACCTTTTCTTGCTTTAATGCCTCTCTTACTGCCTCTCTCTCTACACCACCTTATCCTATTACAGTTCATGATACCATCTTGTGTGCTATGCCAAGATATGGGAGCTAAAAATGAGGCTTTCTGCCAAATAAGAGATTTGCATCATGATAAATATTAGAGTTCTAATGGTTTAAGAAGGTTTTTATTAGTTATTAGGGAAGAAGACCGTGAAGGAGGAAGAGCAAAAAGTATTAAAGCGTTACAAGGGGAATTTCAGGAAGAGTATTTAAGTTTTTAAAATAATTAGTTGGAGAAAAAAACCCAAAGAAAAGAAATAGATCCACAAATCTAAGTGACCGCTCAATTTTACATAAGGTATTCAAGAAACTTAAAATATGTATATTTATATATACAACTATATATTTATATATAATTGTTTTGCCTATCAACATCTAAAGAAAAATTATATTTATTATTGGTTTTATTTTTATTTTCTAGTGGCTTATTTTACTAGAAACATGAAAAATTGAACACTTGTATAAGTAGTTGAGTTTTAGACCTTGTCTTAACTTGACCATAATTAGAAAAGACTTATGGCACCTTATTTTATCTTTGGCTACAAATATAAAGGTCAGATCCTAAGCCTTTCCTGCTAATATTCTTTATTCTCCCTATTTTAAATCCATAGCCCACATCAGCACCATTCTCTCTTAAGCAGTCTCTTAAGCCAAGAGTTTTGACTATTGCTTTTCTCTTATGATGGCTAATAGACAAACATGATTTTTTCACCTTGAGATGGAAACACTACTATATTTGTGATAGTTTCCATGTCTATAGTTTCAGCCACCTTGAAAAGTGAAGGTAGGGCATATGACCAAGCCTCCTTCTCTCCTCGATATTTGGTAAAAGGAAAATAAGCATTTATGACAAGTCAAGGTGAATGATCTGTGACCCAAATGGGATTTTTTTTCTTTTTCTTCTATTTTTGAACTTCATTTATTTTGCTTACATGATATGCAAATATACACTTTAGCCATTGATAAACAGGGTATAGTGTCTGTTTATATAAGAAAGTATATTTATCTAAGTACTCTTTCTTTTTTCTAATGTTCAAAAAAACATCCATTCTAATGTGTGCTGAAATACATGTTGGTTTCTTTCTTATTTTAGTCATCTAGTTAGGCCTTCTCTTTTCAGAATATCATAGTAATATACCTAAAAATGTTCCTGAATGGGTCATATGTACCTGAGGGGAACAGAGAGTCTCTAAAGTCTCTGGGGTAGCAGTTGTGACCACTTTGGCATATTTCTTTTTCTGGTTCTTATTCTGCCAGGCCTCTCTTAGTGTATGTGAATCATTAGACAGTAGCCAGCAAGGTTAGAAGTGCATATATATATTTATTTAGGAAGCTGAATTTTAAGAGATTCCCTGCTCTTAATAGCTGATGATTTTATGAGACAGACGCTTTCCTTGTGCTGTCACTCCAGTTTAGGTTTCACGGTAGATATCGTCTTGGTACTTGCAATCTTGATGGGCAGGCTATGTGCTCTCCTCTTCCTCTTCTGTTCATGTGCCTTCAACCTATTGGGCTGTGGAAGGAAAAGAGGTCATGAGAGGGAAATCCTTACCTGCAGTGCTGCATTTACCCCTTCTTCCAGACATCGCCACTGCCTCTTCCTTTTTGTCTCCCTGCACATACTCGTGCTGGTCCATGATGTACTGGCTGGTGTTGTGGGGTGTGCACATCCCTGGCGGGCGATGTCCTGCCATGTTCATGGGACGGAGGCGCGCTCTTGCCTCTCGCCAGGTTGCTGCTGGTACACGCAAGGTTGGGACCCAGCAGCGCTTCTTCGCATTCCAGAACAGGACTCTCTTTTGACCACTGCTGCTCTGCCCACCTGCCTGGTCTTGGTGGCTGAACTCGGTGCATTGTAGTTGTTGTTGCTGTTTCCAATTCCTCCTCCAGCTGTGACTCCACCAGTGTGCCTTCCCAGGCTGCTTCCACTGTGGCCTATGCACAGGACCCCTGTGCTGGCCACCCTGGCTCCCACAGCCATTTGAGGAAGAAGCATAGGGGTCCTGCTCCATGAGGTCCTTCTCTCTCTCCTGTTGCCCTTGTTCATTGTGTCTGTTAACGTGCATTCTGCCCCTGAGCTTCCATTGCTCCTGTCGTCTTGTGCCCCTGCCAGCCCTGTTGCTACACAGGAGCATGATTAGCATGTCGTCTGCCTGCACTTGCTGCCACTGTCTTTGCCTCTTGCCCCTGTCCTCACCTCGCCATGCCTTCTTGTGCTGCCCAGGAGTGATGGCAGCCAGTGGCATGGCACTTCTGGGGGGACTGTGCTGGGGGTAGTCTTCCCTTCGGTTGAGGCCTGGCCCTGCAGTGCTGGCAGTGCCTCTGGCTCCATATGGGGTGTTTAGCTTGGAGGTTTGTGAGGGAGCCTTGTATCTTGCCCTCCCCATACTGACACCCTGCTGTCCCAGAGAGGCTCTTCTCATGGGCACAGAGTGACAGATTGCATTCCCACCCTGCCTGGAGGAGCCAGTGGCCCGTGGCAGCAACATGGCGGTGTAACAAGGACACCAGCTATCGGTCAGCAGGGGGCTCCCTCCCGGGTGGGGCCCTGCAGGCCCTAGGCCAGGCCTCGCTTTAACGATTGCCAGCCCTGATTCCTGCTTCCCTCAGAACACCTTGTGGGAGGGAGGGAAAGTTGTCCTGGTCACCTGGCGGAGAAGGATGCAGAGGGACTAAGTAGCTGTCACAAGCTGGCACAGAAAGTCAGCACCTTCAAAAAGTCTTTGCTGCTCTCCTGACTCAAAATCTTGAATTCAGCCCTTTATGTCAACTGTTGGAATGAATTCCTGCCTTTTTAGTGTGGAAGGTAGAAAGATAGATAGCAGGTCTATCTCAGAATTAATTTTCTAAACATAGTATATTTACATAACACCAGATGTTTTTCGTAGCATCCCTCTTGTTGGCTTTTTGTAGTACAGAATAAAAACTAATAAATTACAGAATCATAGAGTGATTTAGGTTGGAAGGGACCTTAAAGATCACGTAGTTCCAATCCTACTGTAGGAACACCTTCCCCTAGACCAGGTTGCTCAAAAGGCCCACCAAAACACTTGGCCTTGAACACTTCCAGGGATGGGAATAAATAAATAAATAAATTTGTCTTCTGTGATGAGATAAAAGGCTTTATAGAAGACAGCTAGGTTAAAGGGTTCAAGACAAGCGTGTCCTCATTCTGATCACACAAATAAGGGTGGCAGTTTTGTGGCTGTGCTTGTCTCTGGAAGTTTCTACAGCCTGTATAACTGGGAATGTGGGTATTTATTGTTTAGGCTCCCTCTCCATACACTGATACTGTCAGATCAGGCTTATCATTTCATAGTAAATGATGCATATCCACATTTAGACCAGAATCTGTCTCTCTTTTGCTGAGAGATATCATTGAGAACCCTGAATTTTCATACTTAATGATTAGAGCATCTTTATGGTATCATGACCTGAGACATAAATTGCACTGATGGCATTTATAGTCTACATATTTAAATACAAAAGGACAAAAAGAGTAGAATATTTTAAGAAAGGAACATTTTTAAAAATTTTCTATGTTGATTAAAAAAAAAAAAAGAACTAAACAAACAAAAAAGCAGAAGCAAACCCAAATCCAAACAAAAAATTCCCCCCCCCAACCAAACCCAAAAAAATCAACATAAAGTTCCCTTGGTTTTATCTTGAAAGAGTTGTCCATTCCTTCAGCTTTCATTAGAGAGAAAAGAAAAAAAAATTGCATAGGATTAAGTTTAACAAACAAATAAAACCAAGCCACATTACCCTTAGTGTTAGGCTTAGTTATGATACCAGGTGTCACTATTTATCAACACATGATGGCAGTAGTGGTCCATAAAATGATTAACTGAGGCTGTACATCAGTAAGGAGTCTTTCTGCTGTGCCTTTTGCAGCCGGACGTGCCTATCTTGTATTGGCCTTTTTAGCCACCAGCGCGCTTGTAACAAACGTGGGTAGAGCCTTCCCCAAATCTTCGTTCACGATCATGGCCTAGCCATGATGATGGTGATGATGACGTTAGTAAAACAAAATCTGTCCTAGGCCTTTTTTTCTAGAGACAGCTACATTTAATTGTGTACACAAATTTTATTTTTATTTCTTTATTTATCAGGTAATAGTTAAATTTTAATATATAAAATTATTTAATTTTAGAATTCATCCATAATTCAGCATAAAAATTGGCATTTACATTGTTTTTGTAGTAAAATATTTGTCTTGATATTGCTAAATAACTTGCAGTTGGGTAAATAATGGATTTGTCTTCTAGCATTTAATAATCTTCTTTTTATCATAATAATTACTTTAAATATTAACAGAAATATTTCCCAAATTAATGAGATTTGAAAAAATCATCTTAGTTTAGCAGCGAGTTAATGATTTGTCTTTTGAGATTCTGATAGCATATGACAGTATAGGCTGCTGTCAAAGCTTAGATGAGGTTACCAACTGGCAAACGGGGTAGACAGATATATGCATAAGGTGTTTTGCTCAAGTTGATGGGATTACCATCCAGTCTGATGTCTTCAAGAGCCCTGCGTACATAAGTAAAATCTCTCATTTTGCAGAAAGTATCTTCATGCATCTCTTGAATATTGTTGTTCTAAAAGAAAAAAAAAAAAAGAAGCTATCAAAATAGTTGCCTGAAAGTAATTTTTAACTCTTTGAAGAACCAAATGGATGTATTTTTGGTGCCTAGAGAGATACTTATTTGAACTCAATGACCGATATTGTGGCGGCAAGTCATCAACAAAGAAATCTTCCAAATGGGGAAAATTTCTTGGCCAATGCAAAGCTTCAAAACTAGGTAACTCATACCATGTAGCAGAGACAGGCTTTGCAGGAGAGGTCTGGTAGAAGTATAAGGATTTTCCTTTCTAGATTGTATTGAAGAGACTTATTAAGACAAATTGGAACAAGCATAAGCCAGTCCAAAAATCACAGAAATGGAATTATCATCCTGATGCTTGATGTGCCTCCAAAGGCACAAATTAGAAATTTGATCTGTGACAAATTTCTTTCCTGCAGGCCCTCTCACATTAGTTTACCTCATATCTGTATATATACTGGGAAAATTGAATGCTTTAGGTTTTATTCTTTTGATTTAAATTCCTCTCATATGCCTTACATTCACTGATCTTTTGTTCTTGAAGAGAACTATTTTCAACAATGAATTGCTAGAATACAATATTATCAGGAAATTGGGACTAAAAGGTTCATCTCCTAAAATAAGGTCTGTCTGAAAGTTCTTCTACTCTTCATTCCTTTGCTAGCCAGAAATTAGTGTGGAAAAAGTACAGCTCACTAACTTTTTTCTGTAGCACATATCACTGAATATTTAATTTACAGGCACAAACAGGTGAAAAAAAGATCAGCTAACAGGCAGAGAGTTTCTATAGATTTATGTATTGAAAGATAGGGCTTAAATTATATGTGCTGCATTAGTTTCCTTATTAAAAGGGGTTTTTTCTGTATTATGTAATATCTGATAATCAAAACTGTGCATTGATACAATAGGAGATAAAGGCAAAGAAGCAGAGCTGGAAAAGGTAAAAAGGAAGAATTCAGAAAGAAAGTGTTAGATAAAAGAATTGCAGAAGGGTGATGGATGGGATCTTCCAACATAGTCAAATGGAAACATTTGGCTGAAAATGTTAACTGAGAATTACCTTTATTAAGAATGAAATGCACTGAGTATAGATACAATAAATATGTAAAATTACTTCCTCTGTGTGTCTGAAAGTATTCCCTTTGGAAGATTTGTATAAGCAGTGTGAGGGATTTCTGTCATTGAAGTCTCTTAAACTAATGATGGTCTTGACAGCTGTGAACATAAGTTTGACTTGTACTAATAATAAGTCTAGAATTTAATGTTTGAAAAATATTATATTACAAATTCTAAAAAATAATGCTTAGCTGAGCTAAATTTTACTTGTTTGAAAGACTGCATCCACTAATTAATTTTATGTTTTCCGTATCTTGTTTAGTTAAGTAAGAACACTTCTGGATAAACAGAAGAAACAGTACATAGCAATAATTGCCTTTCCAGTTTTACTATTTGAGCCACTACTTTTGTAGCCTACCTGAAGATGAAGAGCTTGGAGGCTTTCAGGGAGCGGCAAGGGAATATGATCCAAGTTATTGTCAGTGATGTAAAGATGCTGCAGTTCATTCAGATCCTAGAGGATGAAGGAAAAAGGTAGGGGGAAATGACAGACATGTTTGAAAGTCTCTAGCAACTAAGTTTGAAATCTATAGTAACACATTTTTTTTAACATGATATGGGTGAAAAGGCATAAATTCAAAGATAGTAATGAATTTAATTTGCACATGCTGAGAATGTTTCTGTTCAGAATTGGGTGTCTGGATTAAAATGAAGGGGGAAAATGTTTCTGAAATATCTACAGACAATTATTAGAAATGTAATTTCAATGATTACGTTTTGAAGAGATAATACTGTCTTTTATGGTCATTATATAGAAGGGTTTCCTGTTCTATCTGCTTTCTTTTGTGACAAGCTTACTCAATTTTGCAGAAGTGTTTTGGTGTTGAAGCAAACAAAAACTGCAAAAGAAATTCCTGAGTTTAAAATACATTTCTCATTCCATTTCAAAAGGTAAATAATATTCTCCCTTGACTTAGTGGATGAACAAGTGGCAGGCACAATAGCTAGGCTGCTCACAATCGTCTTTGAAAGGAGAGGTGCCTGAGGACTGGAGGTAAGCCAGTGCTACCTTCATCTTCAAAAAGGGTAAGAAGGAGAATCCGGAGAATTACCAGCCAATCAGCCTCACCTCAAGCCCTGGAGAGGTGATGGACCGCCTCATTCTAGAGGCCATCTCTAACCACATGGATGACAAGAAGGTGATCAGGAGTAGTCAGCATGGATTCCCTAAAGGTAAATCATGCTTAACCAACCTGATTACCTTCTGAAATGAAACAACTACCAGGAGAGATGAGGGGAGAGCATTGGATAATGTATACCTTGACTTCAGTAAGGCTTTCGACATTGTCTCTCACAACATACTTATAGGCAAACTTAGGAAGTATGGACTGGATGAACGGATAGGGAGGTGGATTGATAACTACTGAATGGTAGATCTCAAAGAGTCGTAATCAATAGCATAGGGTCTAGTGGAAGGCCTGTCTAAGTTATTCATCAATGACTTGGACAGAGGAGCAGATGCCTTCTCAAAAATCTGGAAAGGGTGACCATTACCCCAGAGTGCTGTGCAGTCATTCAGAAGGACCTCAACAGGCTGGAGAGATGGGCAGAGAGGAATCACTTGAAATTCAGCAAAGGTAAGTGCAGGGTCCTGTACGTGGCAAAGAATAACCCCACACACCAGCACAGGCTGGGGGACAACTTGCTGGAAAGCAGCTCTGTGCAAAAAGGAACTGGGGGTCCTGGTGGACAACAAGCTGACCATGAGCCAACAGTGTGCCCCTGTGGCCAAGCAGGCCAATGATATTGTTGGGTACATGAGGAAAAGCATTGCAAGCAGGTCAAAGTAGCTCATCCTGCCCCTCTACTCAGCCCTATTGTGGTCACATCTGGAGTGCTACATCCAGTTCTGGGCTCCTCAGTACCAGAGAGACATGGAGCTTCTGGAGCGGGTCCAGTGGAATGTTACAAAGATGATTAAGGGACTGGAGCATCACTCTTAGGAGGACAGGCTGCTCTTCTGACCACATCCTGGAGACAGGAAAAAAATATTTTCCCTTTCAATCCAGACTTACTTTAAATGCCTCATTACGTATTCCTTTGTGACCAAGCCTGTTCTTACTAACATCAAGGAATGTTAAGGTAGATGGTAACTCAGGGAGTAGCCTTATCCTGTTGTCACGGAGCACCAGCTCTTGAAGTTGGAGCAATCTTCGGAAGGCATCTTTGTGAATATCTGATATAATGTTTGCAGTCAAATCAATCCTTTTTAAGTTGTCTGGCAGAGAAATAAGATACAAGAAGCATGTAAGAATGTATTTCCTGAAATTTCAGAAAAAGGTAAATGGGTCATTTAAATTACATGTGAAGTGTTTTGAATCATATTAATTCCTGGCCCACTATGTGACAGTGTTCTCAGTATATAATGCAATAATACATATTTGAACAGTTCTCCTAAGGAGGGCAACCTATGTCTCCTTCTCATCCTGTTTCGAACTTCCTGTACATAGTTTATATATTTTGCAGTGAAATACTTCAAAGTTAACAGTTTCAAGGTTTCTGTGTGCTCTAGAAAGCTTTTAAATTACTATATTTTGAAAAAAATAACACTTAAAGAGAAATAAACATATTCTCTACTGCCTTGTTCCACGTTTCTTTATTTTAACATTTTCCTATATGTAAGATATTTGTACACTCAAGCATTTTTCTAATTAAAAAAAAACCCAAACAAAATTAAATTGAACATTTGGGCTTTTTTTTCTACCTATCTAAAGATTGTAAGTAACAGCAAAACAATTGATGACCATTGCTATTTCTAAAAATTCAAAAATTTGACAGAGAATCTGCATCTAAAGTATTGACCTTTATGCTCCAAAGTGGCAAACTGCTTTTCTGTGCATGCATTTGTGTGTAAAATTCTACCATCATCAAACATTATAGAAAATCTATCACTGTGTTTTAGATTAGCATAAGCCAGAAATAGTAGAAATTAAAGCCAGTTGCAACAATACTACTGTCCATACTTAAGTTAGCAAAGTCATTTCTGCTGATCTTCCTGATTTTGTTGTAGCGTGAATAGAAATACGTGGTTTTCTTAGGCAATGGTGGAACAGCATCAAGCTCACGATCATCACAGTAGACTGTAGTTCCTAAGCATGTACACAAAAGGCAAGTGGGAAGACCTGTGAAGGAATTTAAAAGAAAACGGTTTGTTAGAAAGGAAATGTACAAAAATGATATGTAAATTACTGCAATGAAAATCTCACCTAAGCACATAACAATTAGATTTTGTCTATAGTAAAGTTCACTGCCTTTATGTTTTGATCACCACATCATATAATTGCAAGAATGAAGTGATTAAATTCTTAAAATTTATTTTTATAATTATACCTAGAAGAAAAATTAACTTGTTCTAATACAGTGTTTCTCAGACTAAAACCATAGAATGTTTGGTGACAGCAACCAGCCAAAGGTCAGTTTTCCCCTAAGCTGGCAAGGGTGTACTTCTCTCTAGACAGAGGACTCAGAGCTAACAACTGAAACTTGTTACGATTCCTGTTTTGTTCTCTAAATAGCACTTCTGAATATTTTGTAGGGAAATTAGTATTTTCCTGCAGAACTATAGAGAAGAAACTCAGTTTCCTTTGCATATTGTTTAATTATGTTTTCTGATTCAGCAATTCAGTCATGAAAAATCTCTCTATCAGTCTGAGTTAAGGGAACTTGGAGACCCTGTTAACAAAATATTTGGTTACCACCACGAGTTTGTGAAAATGAAAAGTGAGCCATTTTATCTCAATCACAACACTGCATGAATACTGTGAATTCAGAAGTTTCTTTTGATGGTACTATTCAAATTTTGTGAGACCTGTGAGACCGAGTTTTTGATACATCTTTTCTTTGATTATGGGTATAAAACAGCATATCTGTTTATCAGCTTTTAATCCCATAGAAATACTTTTCTGTTTCTTGTTTTCCTCCTCCTTGTAGCAGATGGCTGGTTATTTGTTCTGTTTACTTACAGAATAGTATCACAATTCATGAGTATGAAAATGTTTCTCTTGCATATTAGTTTTTTCTCTAGATCAGTTGTGGCTACATGACAGATGTGCCTTCTTAATCCATATTAATTACCAATAGCTGATTGAGGTGCCCCTTCAGGCAAGATTAAAGAATGAATAACCAGAATACTCTTTTATTTGAGAATCTCTACTTGAACATCCAGGAATAACATTTATGGAGAGATAAGACTCTTTTCATGCTTTCCCTAACTTTCTCCACAGGACAGCTTACATTGGCTACAAGGAGCAAGCCTGACACAGGGAAAAAAAATAAATTATCACATGTTGAAATATTTCAGCAAATCTCGGCCTAAATGAATGTAGAGTTAAGGATGATTGACATTTTTTCATAATATTGTAACATAGTACAGGAAAAGGTTTCCTCTTCTGTCCTATTTTTGATCTTGGAGGAGTGGTATTTGTCACCTATGGATGGTGCAACTGAAAAAGAACAGAAGTAGGGGAAGGATTCAAAAAGACATCAAAAAGAAAAATGAACTTGGCTTGGTGTTCCTGAGCCTTGTAGTCTTCTATTCAGTATCAGGCCAATAACAGCAACAACATCTGACAGGAAAATATGTTGCTGAAAAAAAAAAAAGACACAAAAGCAATCTGGTTTGACATGTTACAGCCTTGAGCCTCCCATGTGTGTCTTTAGTTAAAACACTAGCTGGTTTGCATCCAGTGCTTGAAAATGTTGACACATACAGAATTCATCCTATATAATATTTACATGACATTTTGTAACATCCTGTAGTTTTCAAAATTGAAAAAAAAGTGGGCTTTTTTTTATTTTTCTGAAATCTCCTGGGAAATTTTTATTCAATTTTTATTTGTTTTGACCTCATTGAATTTTTTGCCTGTCTAAGGCTTACTTGTAATCTGTATAAAAATAAGACTATGAATTATTAACTCCACAGAACACACAATTTTGGAAATATGAACTCTGGGGTTGTGGTTTGGGGTTTTTTTGCAGTTTGTTTGTTTGTTTTTATAATTTAATTTTTCTTCTATTGCACTCAGCTGCAGTATTAGGCATAGTAAAAAGTGGGATTTTCCTGTCTTTGTGTGTTGATCACCATACAACACAAAGATCCATCACAACAATGGACAACTTAGTGAGCTTCAGCTACAAGAGTTTAGAGGACCTTTTGACAAATGCCAGTTATTAGCATTGCAAAGTTTGTGTGGGAGAAAGACAGATTATGTTTTGCAATTTTAATTCCCCTGAAAGATGTATGAGGTTCTTATTTTATTACACATAGTCAGAAGAAATGAAAATCATCTTCACCCCAAATTTTGAAATAGTTCCCTTTCCTTAAGTTTAACAGTTTCTAGTTTTCACAGCAAAAAATTCTTCAACATTTTAGTTAAACATTGTATGACCATATTTATAAAAAACATGTAAAAATCATTATAAAACAAAGATAGTTGATAATGACATTGAAATCTAAGAGAGAAAATCAAGTACTGGTAGAATTTGCTAACCATCAGCAAATTTTTAAGTTGTAAATTCTCATTGACACAGTTGTTTTCATAGTGAAATAGTATGGAAACATTTTGACTAGGCACTATAAGACTTAGAGCATTCAAGATAGGCATGTTATATCTTTCTTCAGTAAGAGAAGTACAGAAATTATGAACTTCCTCTTCAGTAAAAAAGGTAGACATTCATAAGCAAATAAAGTGTGCTTACTCAAAATCAAAGCTACACACAAAAAACTCATTGCTCTTTCTTACTAACCATCTTGAGTTTGGAGTCCAAGAACCCCAGATCCCTGTGCTGAAGATCCATCAATTAATTTTGGTGTTGATGCTTCATCCTCAGTTTCTTCTGTCAATGATGTAGAAGAATAAATCTCTTGAAGTATAAAAGGTAGTGCTGTCCCAATCTCGGCCTAGAAAAAATGAAGAGAATATGTTAGTATTTACTTCCACTGGCAACTGTTTCTCTTCCGGTTATCCATATTCTCCCACTAGAGGTCACATATTTTCTGAGATTTAGTGCTCGAGCTGCATTTTATTCAGCAGCTTTAATGAATTCTGATTATGTATAAACAATTCATGAAAATCCAACATACTTATTTACTTTTTATCTCAGTGTTTGGAATGCTGTTTTTATGCACATATGCATATACTTCATTAGTGAGAATATAGTGAAAATATATACCAATAAAATTATTTTTCCACACTTAAAGATAAATTAGATTTGTGATAAAAATTGATATATTTAATGTGACAAATGAAAATTTGTTGTGAAACATCAAAAAGATGCAAGTCATTTATCATAAAATTGTAAATTGTACCAGCATAAATCTAAATCTGATATAGCTGTGCAGGCTCTCTTTTAAGAACACTAACATGCTTTAAAAATCTTATTATTGAAGATTTTTCAACTCTGACTTCACATGCTACTTTTAATATGTTGGCAGTGGTTTTGTCACTTTTTTTTTTCTAAATCTGAAGACCAAAAGGCTCTGGTTAGTTTCAGTCATCATTAGCTGTATTATGTGGTATGAAAAATTAAATATATATAAAAATATTAGATAAAATCTTGATTTAAAAAAACCTATAAAAGTTGTAAGATCCTTGTATGGAACTACAAATGTTTGGGTTTTTTTGTCCTGAACTCAAAATAATTAGTTAAACCAGTAAATTTTGTCATTCTGTTGACTTTCCTATGTGAAAATTTCAGGATAAAAATTAAGATGTAACGATTTTCTTGCATCACATCACTGGTCATAAAAAGAGTATTACAGACTTGCCAGGCTTGTTGTAAAGGGGCCTATGTGTGCAAAGAGACAGAATGGTTTTCAATAATCACCCAAACATCAAGAATCCACTCTAGTTGTGTGACCTTTGCAAGTTGCTTTACCTCTGTATCTTTATTTCCCCGTGTATAATAATATTGTTTGACCATACCGGGGCCTCTTTTGAAAATCCACTTTATTCTTTAAATCCAAGATGGTGAATTAGTGTCCTTATAGGGCTTTGCACATCTGAGGTACTGTTTAAAATTTAGGTAATATATCTACCCCTGTGGGTGCTGCACCCCTGTACTTTGCTTCACACTCCTTACCTTTTTCTAAGGCATGACCGAATA